GGACACGTTGGGGCCACACTGGAGACAGGGTCACGGAACCGCGTGTGCTGCAGAGAAGATGGACAGGGTACCCGCAGTGTCACAGCGCCACGCATAAGAGTCAGAAAGCTCTGCCACGAGCCACATGCCACGAGCCACATGCCACAAGCCACATGCCACGAGCTACATGCCGGGCCACCATGTGGTGCAGGGAAGCGTGGCTGCAGGCGCAGAGCTGAGCCAAGGGTCTGGCCACGCTGCGCTCACTCGCTGGGACGGGACTTACTGGGATGGAAGGGGAACTAAGAAGCCACCAAGAAGTGAGGGAACTTGTGTGTGCAGCCCCACAGCCCCTGGCAGCACTGAGGTGACCGCTGAAGCTCCTCAGAGGTAGAGAGAAGGTAGAGGGCAGCGCAGGGACATCTGTCAGCGTAGTTACAGAAACAGCCCCAGGAAATCCCCCAAGCTTGCAAAACAACTTCAAAGCTCAACCAAGTGAGGCTCAAACAACTACGGTGAAAGAGTGCTCACCAGGATGAGCCACTCCATACAGCCACGTACCCAACAAAGAGAGTCTTCACAGCAGCCACAGAAAAACAAGAGATCACACACAGACAAGCCCATGAGACTTACGTTGTACTCAACAGAAACCATTAATGCCCGAGAGCTCGCAGCGAGAGAGTAAGTGAGGACACACTCACACTTTCCAAGCCTGAGAGTGTGTAACCTCCAACCAAGGTGAGCGCACCAGCTCGTGTTCTTTCAGACCTCATGGAGAAGTAAGCGTGGTTCACGGGAACGACCAGCTCAGAGATACACGCTCACGCGACCAGCACCGAGAGAACACTCAAGATTACCTGACCCAGAAAACTAAAAATCCCAAAGAAATAAAGATGCCAAGCAAGGTCAGTAGATAAGCAATAATTAACAAGAGGCAAAAAATAAGAACACAGGAATCACCTCAACAAAGAGTAAAATGATTGCAAATAATCAATACCATCAGTAACAGCTTGTGTTTTTGTTTTTTTTTTTTTTGCAGAACTGGGGATTGAACTCAGGCCATCTCCCCAGCCCAACGTTGTGTAATTTAATAGCTTCGACTCTCCAATTAAAAGATAAAGAATGGCAACCTGGATTAAAACTCGGAATTTATGATCTTTTATCTGACTTCTATCTGATGGAAAGACATAAACACAGAATAAAAGTTCAATGACGGTATGCAGGATCTCAGGCACCAAGACTCCTTTGAATAGCAGTAACAATATTAAACTCAGACATGGTAAGCTTCAAGCTAAAACTGCTTGGAGCCGACGAAGAAGAGCTGCACACTAGTCAGGGGCAGCAACCAGAACGAGCACGAGTGTGTGTAAATATTTGTGCACCAAATGCTACAGCACCTTCTCACACACACAAACAAGAACAACAACAAAAACACCTGCTGAGCTAAAGAAGAGCAAACAAATACTAACAGAATTGGCGAGAAGTCTTCCCACCCCACTGTCACAAAGAGATACAGCAACTCAAAAGCAAATGAAGAAACAATGACCAGAGCTCAGCCACGTCTCTGAATACAGAAACTCATTCGATGTGCACCGCATTTTGTGCCACACAAGAGCATGTACATTCTCTCCTGGAGCAAGCAGAACCCTCCCCGGGCCAGGCCCGCTAGGTGTCCTCTGCAAAGGCTGCTTAACGTGCACACAAACCAGAAGCGGCCACCGGGT